ACGCGATATCACCCGGTCGCCTCCCTTTAGGAAATGGTTCAACTCACCTGTTCCTCCATCGAATCTTTCCAGGTCAGATATAGCTCTCCTCAGGTCCTGCGACGTCGCCGTTCTCACCTTCAGCCATTCCAGCGTCGTCGCATGTGCTGACGCTAACGTCTCCGTAGGTAGCGGAGGAAAGTCCCTCGCTAACGCTTCTGCCAACGTAGGAAATGCTGCCGGTGCCGCTGGTGCCGCAGTCGGTTGTGCTACCTGGGCTGTAGGCGGTACTGGTGGTGGTGGACGTACTGGTGGTTGCCCTACTCCGTTCGGCATCCTGTCTTTTATCTATCTCCACGACGTGAAAAAAAATAAAAAAACGAAAAACAAGTACAAAATTAAATTTTTTAAACTTCCCGGGTTTCGGCACCACTTACGTCGGTTCGAACTGAGAAAGACAAAAAAAAGAAAGAAGGCTTGAAATAAGGCACGTAGTTGCTCAAACTAAACTGACTTTATTCTCTCCGTAATGCTATATATATAGCATTACGGTTTGTTTACAATTATTGAATAGGATTAACTAATATATTACTTACATCTAACCATAACTTATATATATATATATATATATATATAGCATTTCCAAGTCAATTTCAACCTTTTCCAAATCAAATTCAACCTTTTCCAAGTCAAATTAAACCTTTTCCATTTCAAATTCAACCTTTTCCAAGTCAAATTCAACCTTTTCCATTTCAGATTCAACTTTCGAATTTTTGTCAATTTTCGATTTTTTTCGAAATGATGGCCACTTACTATATTATCGAAGGCCTAGCTTTTGAAAAATATAAAAAAAAAATTTGATAACGCGGTTGAATATCCATTTATTTTAATATTATAGATTTTTTCAGTGTGATATTTCTATGTCATATTCAATTATTTCCAAGTCAAATTCAACCTTTTCCAAGTCAAATTCAACCTTTTCCAGATCAAATTAAACTTTTTCCAAGTCAAATCCAACCATTTCCATGTCAAATTAAACCTTATCCAATTCAAATTCAACCGTTTTCATTTCAAGTTAATGTTTTAATTTTTTGTAAATTTTATATTTTTTTTTTAAATAATGGCCATCCCCTCCTCCACTCCAATATGAAAGTCTATTATTATGCTCTCCTAAGTAGAATTTTCACTTACGGATATCGATTTATTGTACCTATTCGGATTTATTAGGGACTAGTATTATGCTGTCCTGTACCTAGTTTTGAAAACAACCTCCATTTTAAGATTACGTGACTGCGTTTCGAATCATTATAGTTTTTTTGACTTATTCGATATAAGGGTATATTTTTATGTTTCCCGATCAGTAAATTTTGAAAATGACATCCATTTTATGTTTACGCCACTGTGTTTTGACTTATTTAAGTTTTTTGGATTTTTTCATATGAGGGAGTATTCTTATGTTTCCGGAGCCGTAGATCTTGAAAACGATCTCCATTTTAAGATTAGGCCACCGCGTTCCGATTTCTTTGAGTTTTTCGGATTTTTTTTTATATGAGGAGGTATTCTTATGTTTCCGGAGCTGTAGATTTTGAAAACGACCTCCATTTTAAGATTAGGCCACCGCCTTTCGATTTCTTTGAGTTTTCGGATTTTTTTCATATGAGGATGTATTCTTATGTTTCCGGAGCTGTAGATTTTGAAAACGACCTCCATTTTAAGATTACGCCACTTTCGGCTTATTCAAGTTTTTCGAATTTATCCAATTTAAAGGTCTACTTTTATGATGCTGGAGCCTTAGTTTTTAAAACGACTTACATTTTAAGATTAGGCCACTGTGTTTTTTTTTTTTAAGTGTTTTTGATTTTTCCTTCGAATACAAAACAAAATACGAAGGATTAATTTATTTTTCAAAAAATAAATAAAAATATCTAATCAAAATAAATAAAATATGTACTGTCTCATTTTTAATTTAATTATAGTTATCTTTTTTAATGTTGTGGTCTCCTGTCACAAAATTATAAGATTTCGAACAATTAGCTGAAAAATCTGAATACGGAAGATTAATATTATTACTAGTTGCTTTTCGGCTTTTTAGTTTGTATTATGTGGTTAATTTAACTTTAGCTTCATAATATTTATTTATTCATACACGAAAACATATTGATGAAACTTTGTATTGAAAATATCCAAAATGAAGCCTAATTAATCGAGATGCAGCGACGTAATCATAAAATGGAACATAAATATTAGATAAACTTACATATTAAAGATTAGAAAAATTTCAATACGTCTCGGATAACATATAAGTAGATCCTTATACCGAAAAAGTAAAAAAAAAACTTTTATAATCCAAAACACAGTGGCATAAACTTGAAATTGGGTCATTTACAAAATGGGGGAAATCTACTGCTCCAGAAACATAAAATTAGACCTTTATACTTGTTAAATTCTAAAAACTTAAATAAGTTGAAACGCAGTGGCGTAATCATAAAATAGAGGTCATTTTCAGAATCTACGGTTCTGAAAACATAAAAGTAGACCTTTAAATTGGATAAATTCGAAAAACTTAAATAAGTCAAAACGCAGCAGCGTAATCATAAAATGGAGGTCATTTTCGAAATCTACAGCTCTGGAAACATAAAAATACACCCTTACATCGAATAAATCAAAAAAACTTAAATAAGTCGAAACGCAGTGGCATAATCTTAAAATGGAGGTCATTTTCAAAATCTACCGCTCCGAAAACATAAAAATACACTCTCATATGAAAAATATCCGAAAAACTCAAATAAGTCGAGACGCGGTGGCCTAATCTTAAAATCGAGGTCATTTTCAAAATCTACAGCTCCGAAAACATAAAAATACACCCTCATATGAAAAATATCCGAAAAACTCAAATAAGTCGAAACGCGGTGGCCTAATCTTAAAATCGAGGTCGTTTTCAAAATCTACCGCTCCGGAAACATAAAAATACACTCTCATATGAAAAATATCCGAAAAACTCAAATAAGTCGAAACGCGGTGGCCTAATCTTAAAATCGAGGTCATTTTCAAAATCTACAGCTCCGAAAACATAAAAATACACCCTCATATGAAAAATATCCGAAAAACTCAAATAAGTCGAAACGCGGTGGCCTAATCTTAAAATGGAGGTCGTTTTCAAAATCTACGGATCCGGAAACATAAATGTAGAAATTAATATTGGATAAATTCTAAAAAAAACACAGTGGTGTAAACATAAAATGGATGCCATTTTCAAAATTTACTGATCGGCAAACATAAAATTTGATTTGATTTGGAAAAGGTTGAATTTGACTTTTAAAAGGTTGAAATTGACTTGGAAATGCTATATATATGGGCTATTTCGCCAGTAGATACGAAACTGTGTCACAAGGAGATGTTGTTTTTATTTATGGTTCTCTTTAAAGGCTTCCACCATCAGAGATCTTGTAGTCCACTATCATTCCGATTTGTGTATCTAAGACGTGGAATATCTAATGTTCAACAAGCCCTGGCATACACAAATATTTTTGTTAATTTATCTCTGAAGTTCCTTAACCCATATTTCTGTCTTTCTGTATAATTCTAAAGGGACTCGTCCCAGAATAAATAAAATATTATTATTACTTTGAAATCTCTCTAGGCATATATAACTGAGAAACGAGTTATATGGTTTACTAAAACGGAAGGAGTTACGAGGTTTTATTTTACCAAAATAGCAATTATGCATATTGCCTACCATCAGTATAATAAATAAGATTTGTGTTATTTTAATTAAGTTCTTAGATGTAAGGTTTAAGCTTTAGTTCCGTTTAAGGCCTAATATCGATGACAAGAAACATGAAACTCTTCTCCAATGTCCAAAATATAATGTCAGTAAAATATCTTTTTATGTTTGAACTGTTTAAAGAATGAGGGAAATAACCTCCTAATTGACTTCAATTGTTAATCCAATCAATGCCTAAATGTTACCAAAAAAAAAAATTAATGAAGGACTACATTCAAAATATTAATTTAAAATTTTCAGTAAAATAAATAAATTAAATACTGTTCGAAAAATGTTTTTGCATTTAAATTCTTATTTAATATTTTAATTTGTATTAAAAATATATTTATTTATAGTTGAGTAAATGTTTTTGTGAAAAATGATAAGGTTGGTATTGAAGTTTTAATTAAGCGTTTAAATAAAAAGAAGTATGTTGGAAAGAATTGCTTTTATTTTTTTTTATGTCCTATTAGTCCGTTTATGAAAACTTTTGTTGGCCACTGTATTTCATTTAAAATTTTAAAGTTGGCTAAATGTATTAGATTCCATTTTATTGCAGTCTATTGTAAGAATATAAACTGTATGTACCGCTACCAGTGTTTCGAAAGTGCTAAAATACTATTATAGAGTATGAGGCTGGCTGTCTTCGAATGATGTGATCTTATTTTTTCTGATGACGCCTGAATTTATTTTATTAATTTTTTTATAATTACCTTACCAGAACTGATTCTTATCCACTCTTGACATTATTCCCGGTTTTGAAATATAATATTAATCAATTAACAGTTCAACTAACCAAGCTAACGGATCCAGGATTAAATTTTGGGAGGGACTTCTGCACGAAAGATTTTTTTTTAATGTAAATGTAAATTTTTTGTTTGTTTTATATCAGGATGATTACTTCGGAAGAAAGAAAGAAACTAACTACCTATATGGAATAATGTTTAAATTATTTTTTAAGTTCTACTAAATGTAATTAGACGAACATTGACTTTTAGAGATAATTTTTTTTTCTTTAAACATGGTTTTAATTTACCATTTAGGGGGGAGGGAGGCTTCAGCCCGAAAGCCTCCCCCCCTCGTAGATCCGCCAGTGACTAATCATGTCTAGCTCTGACTGTCACTTTTCTTATGATTATGGCGACAAGTTGACGGGTTAGTTTGTCCATTACCTGCATTTTAGAAACGCAAGGCAATGTGATTGGATTTTTACTGTTACAAACAAAGTGGTGTAGTAATGTTTGAAAAATATATTAAATACTGATTGAATATGAATCTTTTTTATTAGCAGATATTTGGAATGTGAATAGATTTGAGATATCTTACAGATACAGTGGCTTTATGGTTAGTGATAAATTTACATCACACTATTTTTCCATCAACTGCTGCACCTTTTTCTAGTAAGACTTTAAGAATAGAGCTATAACCAAAATAAGCAGCATCAAACAGAGGAGTTTTTTTATATTTGTTCCATACATCGGGTAGAGCTCCTCCATTAAGGAGTACATTAACTGATTTAAAATTGCCTCGAGATGCTGCAACATGAAGAGGAGTTAAACCTAGGGTATTCGATTTGACATTCACATCAGCTCCTTTTTTAATCAATGCTTTAATAATATTATCATGCCCTAGAGAAGCAGCTTGAAATATTGGAGTTTCTCTTTCATAACTTTTTATATTAGCATGGGCTCCTCTACTAAGCAAAATATTGACTATTTCTAAATGACCTTCATATGATGCAATATGAAGTGCTGACCAACCCATTTTTTTTGTTTTACCATTTGGATCAGCTCCTCTTTCAAGGAGAGTTATTACGGTAGTATTATGTCCTGCATAAGCAGCTTCAAAGAGAGGCGTTTTGTTGTCTACATTTTTAGCCTCTATCATCGCTCCGCTATCGAGCAAAGCATTGACTATTTTCAGATAACCATTTGATGAAGCTACATGTAGAGCTGTCCAATGATCATTTTTGGTTTCAGCATTTTTTTCAGCACCTCTTTCCAAAAGTCTTTCGACAATATTATCATGTCCTGCGCTAGAAGCTTCATAAAGTGGAGTCTTATGATCAATGTTTTGTACATCAATATTTGCTCTCTTGTCAAGAAGTGCTATAACAACACCTAAATGACCACGAGATGCCGCAATATGTAATGCTGTCCAACCTAGAATCTTTGTCTTAATTTCTAGATCAACTCCTCTTTCTAGAAGTGCTCTAACTATATCAGCGTAACCAGCATTAGCAGCTTCAAAAAGTGGAGTTCTACCTTCATGGCTTTGTTCATTAATAGCAGATCCTTTGTATATTAAAATATTAACTACCTTGAGATGGCCTTCAGATGCTGCCACATGTAAGGAAGTCAAACCAAGATTCTTTGTCTTTATATTTGCATTAGCTCCTCTTTTAAGAAGTTCTTTAACTACATCGTGGTAGCCTGCAAAGGCAGCTTCAAATAGTGGAGTTTTGCCATCATCATTTTCTTCATTAACTACAGCTCCTTTGTCAAGTAAAACATTGACTGCTTGCAAATGACCTTTTGATGCGGCTATGTGTAATGAAGTCCATCCACAATCCTTTGTCTTAATATTTGCATCAGCGCCTCTTTCCAGTAGTTCTGTAACAATAGTAGTGTGACCTGCATTAGCAGCTTCTAAGAGAGGGGTTTTCCCCTCATCATTCCTTATGTCAATAGATGCGCCTTTATCAAGCAATGCAATAATCACTCCTAAATGGCCTCGATATGCAGCAAGATGTAAAGGGGTCCAACCATTCTGTTTAATTCTAACATTCATGTCTGCTCCTTTCGCAAGAAGTTCTTTTACAACATCATAATGACCGTTATATGTGGCTTCGTAGAGAGGAGTTTTTTCTTCATTATTTTTTATATCAACACTTGCTCCATTTTCAAGTAATGCCCTTACTATTTCTACATAGCCCTTCGAAGCTGCTGAATGCAATGGAGTCCAGCCATCGTTTTTACTCTTCGAATCAACATTTGCTCCTCTTTGAAGTAAGTTCCTAACAATATCTTCATGACCAGCATACGCCGCTTCTGACAAGGGTGTTTTGTAATCTGTGTTCTTAATATTTACGTCTCCTCCTCTATCAACTAAAACATTTATAATTTGGTTATAACCTCTAGCTGATGCCTCATGAAGTGGTGCCCAGCCTTTTTTTTTAGTCTTAATATTAATATCCGCACCTCGGTCAAGTAATAACATTACAACATTAGTTTTTCCAGCACTAGCAGCTCCAAAAAGAGGTGTTTTATCATCTATATTTCTGATATTAACATCAGCACCTTTGTTGAGCAGCTCCTTTGCTACATCTAAGTGTCCTCGTGAGGCAGCTACATGCAAAGAAGCCCAACCATCAATTTTGGTTCTAATGTTTACCTTGGATCCCTTACTAATAAGATATTTAACAACATCACTTTGGCCTGAATATGAAGCCTCAAAGAGAGAAGTTTTCCCATCTATATTATATTGGTTAACTTTTGCACCATATTCTACTAAGAGTTTCACAACTAGAAGATTTCCCTGCGATGATGCCATATGCAGTGGTGTCCAGTGATCTCTCTTGGTCCTACCATTTACATTGGCTCCTCTTTGGATTAAAACCTTTGCTATAATATCATGCCCCGAATAAGAAGCTTCAAATAAAGGAGTTTTGTCATCATTATTCGTTATATCTACAGTTGCAGCTCCATCGAGTAAAGCATTTACTATTGCCATAAATCCTCTTCTAGCTGCCATATGCAAAGGTGCCCACTCATCGCTCATTGTCTTTGAATTGACATTAGCTCCCCTCGCAAGGAGTTTTTTTACAACTTTATGATTGCCCCAATAAGAAGCTTTAAAAAGAGGAGATTCACCTCCATAATCTGTTTCATTAATATTGGCTCCTTGGTTAAGTAAAATATTTACAATCTCAGCATAACCTCTTGTTGCTGCAGCATGCAAAGGAAGTGAACCATTCTTCTTTGTCCTAGAATTAATATTGGCACCTTTACTAAGGAGCAGCGAGGTAACATTTTCCTGGCCCAAATAACAAGCCACATATAGCGGAGTTTTTCCATCATTATTAGCAACGTTAACATCCATATCTCTTTCCAACAAAAGTTTAACAACAATCGTCGAGCCATTTTTGGCGGCTAAATGTAAAGCTGTCCACCCATCTTCTTTTGTTTGTGAATAAATTCGCGCACCATTATTCAGCAGTGTTATAACAACTGATGAATGACCCGATTCAGCAGCTCTATGCAAAGCAGTCATATTATCTTCATTAAGAGAATTAACACTTATTCCACAATCCTCACTATCCAGTAAATAGTTCACAATCGCTAAGTTGCCAATAGAAGCAGCTGCATGTAGTGTCGTTTCTCCTGTTTTTGTCTGAAGATGACAATCGGCTCCATTTTTTATCAACAGCTGTACCATTGATTCATGCCCCATAAGTGCTGCTAAATATATTGGAGTTTTACTTGTAATATCTTTTGCATTAATATCAGCTTTTTTTTCAAGTAGGAATAACACAACCTCCAGTTTGTTGGCCATTGCGGCTTCGTGTAAAGGTGTCTTACCATCTACATTTCTAGCTCCTATATCAGCTCCATGTTGAATTAGTAGTTTTATAACATCTTTATTTCCCTTTGCTGCTGCAACATGCAGAACTGAGAAACCATCTCTAGCCTTGGCGTTGACATTCAGACGTTTGTTCAGTAAGAAGCTGACACCGTATTGATTATCTTCTCTGACAACATCAAATAAAAAAGACTCCCCGTTTTGATTAATTGAGGTTATGTTTCCTCCTAAGTTTATCATCATTTCAAATAGTTTTTCATCTCCATTTTGTAATATTATTCTCATTAATTCAGATTTCAAATCACTATTTATAAACATTGTACCTCCAAAGTTTATAAGTAATACTGCTATTTGTGAAATGGAGTACAAAGATGTATCTTCATTTTGCGTCGTTTTTTCATTATGATTATTTTCCACAAGTAATGTTGAATATAGAAGTGACAAACCTTCTCCTATGTTGCTAGGAAGAATTGCATTATTATTTAATAACTTTTTTATAATACCATTTATCCCTTTTTGTTCGGCGATATGTAATGGAGTTAGTCTTTTATGGTTTTTTGTATTTATTTGACTATTAGAATGGACTAATTCTTCAGCGACGCCCAAGTTGCCATTCTCTACTGCAACGTGAAGTGGTATGTTTCCTGATTTCGATCTTAAATTAACGTTTGCTCCTTTTTTGATCAATATTTGTACAGTTTCTTGATCATTGTTACTTACTGCTCTGTACAAAGGAGTATGACCATTTGAATCAGGAATGTTAACATTTGCACCAGATGCAATTAGTTTTTCAACAGATTTAGATGAATTTGAACTAGCGGCAAAATGGAGAAATGTTTCATTCTCTTTGGACTGAAGCCTTAGTTGAACACTCTCAATATCATTTAAAGCTCCGTGCTTAATGAGCAATCTAACTATGTTCCATTTTTCATTTTGCCAAGCTTCATGCAGTGCTTTTGTTAAATCATAAGAACTACCAATTTTAAAAAGCCAATTAAGATTTTCAACATTATCTTCCTTACAAGCTTGGAGTATCAAGTCTGACATGTTGGACATCAACATTATGTTTATTAGTAAATTTGGTGGAAAATTTACCAAACCTCTCTTTTCAGCGTTGACTAATGAATCAATGACTTTATACATTTTTTCAGAGGAAAAACTGAGTAAATTTCTTGTGGACTGCCGGATTATCGGTGCTTTATTGGTTTTTATTTCAGAGGCAATTGCTAACAGCTGATTTGTCATTATATTATCAGATGTGGTCATAAATTGTAAAAGTAATAAGAAAATATATTCATCTTGTGTTAGTCCTGCAAGAAATTGTGCCGAATCATAGTCGTTCAAATGATTGAGAATTTCTTTCACTGCTTTGGCAATTTTAGTTTCAATTATCGACGATAAATAATTCTTGAAATCGGAATGGACAGTAAAGTCACTAATGGAAATGTTGTAGCCCTCCTTTGTATTAATATTGGGTTCCGTTTGATCCTGTAACGAAAAATTGACTTTTAGCTTTGAAAATTCACATAATCCTAAATATCATTATATTTAAAGAAAAATTAATTTATATGAAATTTAATTATTTACTTTGAACATAATTGAAGTTAAATTTAAAGTCTAGTCCAAACTGGTAGACATGTTGCGCGATTTTGGTTTCTAAGACATGTCTCAGGTTGTCTACGTACACATGTGTATGGACCATTCCCCTTCTACAGGCCTGTTGCGAGATCTAAAATGACAAGTCTGAAGTCTCCCAATCGGAATGGGAGACCACATGCAACATTAGACATTTTAACAGTGTGGACGTCACACGGCGTCTAGAGGCTAGACGGGTACTAGTCTGTTTCCAGTTATTTGGGGTTGGTTCGGCTGTTTACAGTTATATTATACAGTTTTACAGTTCTTTTGAAAACACGTTTTCTAACGAGAAAGTTTTAAAACTAATTGAAGATTAACCATGGTATCTGGGTGGGCGGGGTGGCCGAATGGGCAAACATGTGTGCACAGCACCGCCGCAGCACAACCCGGCAACCTGATATATGAGACAGGGGATTTTAAAATAGTTACGAGTTCGCGTCCCGGTGCCCGGGGAGTCTTTTAAATCTCCACCCACATCCCCTGGCCCGGAAAAAAACCCGTATAGTCTTAAAGGAGACGAAGAGTAGTACGCAAAAAAAAAAAATAAATAAATAAAGCCACTAAGCAGGAACTCATTTCACAGAAAACAGTGTTCTCCATGGAGAATTGCGAAGATGAGACCGAGAGATTCACATCGTAATCTGGACGCTAGACGAAACAAAGAACGGTGTCTATACACTGTGGTCTCGATTTGTTGGTGGTTTGTTGATAGACAAATCGCGCAACATTATCTACTAGTGTGTGCTATTGAAACCCATTGATTAGTTTTTAACTAAGTACGAGCCAGATATTCAGAGTCTACACACCCATAGACCTGGCCCCCACTTACGTAATAGATATACAAACACACACACACACATATATATATATATATATATATATATATATATATATATATATATATATATATATATATATATATATATATATATATATATATATTACCATGTAGCTATATGATATTTTATATTTCAGTTACTTACAACCAACAAATCATTAATTATAAAACCATTCTATTTTATCGGATAAACTCGAATTGGGTCCCGGGTGTCCTTTCCATGAACTCGAATAGGGGTTCTGCAATCGTTAGGTTACCTGTTGAACAGAACGCCCTATTTCCTGGAAATGACCTTTTCACTCAAATATTTCCCTATATTGAACTAAATGCGAGGTAGGATATTTGTATTTTGCCAAACTCAATGAAATGGAAAAATATGTTTAGTTATGGGAGTAGCGGAAAAGAGTATTTTATTTTTTAATTCTTATGTTTAAAAAACTTACATATTTTTAATGTATAATATGAAACATTTATATGTTTACTCACCTCCCATTCGTGCGAAAAATCTGAAAAAAATGAAATATTTTAAAGAGAGAAGAAGCTAGCTTATACTAGCGGAAGTATGACCAGATTTGATTCCTAGATGAATTATCATTTAATTTAACCACTTTACATATACATATAAATTATAATCGTCCGGAAATAATAAAAAAAAGGAAAAGGGTAAGCCATAGAACCCACTCAAGTACTTGCTAAAGACTGACTTTATTTCCCTAGTTATCCTCCATATATAATATTAGTCTTTGTTTACCTTATCTATATAGGATTAAAGACAATATTAGTAGGCTACCAACCATAACTTTTATGTGTATATATATGTATATATTAGACGAGGTACAAGCCCAGGGTACTTCGCGCGACACACCAAATAAATTTATATATTTTTAAATATTTAATTTTTCATTTCTGTCTATCCCTTCGTTCAAGACTTTAAATTTTTGTCATATCAAAATATTAGTTATGATCATTCTAATTATATATCTTTTAATGAAATCAAATCTTTTCTGTCAATCGGCCTCGTTAATAACTTAAATTTTTATTTTATTTTTTGAATCCCTATTGTAAGTACCTATACAAGTACAAATATTGATTTTAGATACATCACGCCACTGATCAGAATTCTAATAAATACATGACATAACATAAAATGCACGGATTTTTTTGGTTATAGTATGTTTATCATCAATGAACAATTCAATAAAATAAGGCTATCTCCTGTAAATTACTTCTTATAATATGGATTTTTTTCATTTCGTTTTAATCCCCCTTTCTAGTCGCTATTAACCTTGTTAACATCACGCTTAATTAGCTGGTTTTAGAATGCTAAGATATGTTGATACAACATTGCAATTCCGTTCCGAAATTGTGAACGAAAACCGTGTAGCTATTAGCGCCAAAACGGCTTTTGATGAAACTTCGTTAATGTCTTCTACATATAAATCCTTTTTAATTCAAATATATATATATATGAAAATAAATCAGAATTTTATGTTTCGAAAAGTGCACACGTTTTGGTTCATTAAACCTATGAATATTGGCAAACTTAGTGAATCCCTTAAAGAAATCATCGAAATCGAATAGAATCATGTATGATATTTTTTAAGACATTATGTTTTGTTTATATTTTTTAGTTAAGATCTATTATGATGAATTTATCCGGTATATTTGGTATATTGTTATAGTATGAGTACAGTGTTGAAATGAAGATATGAAATGAACTGAAGATTAAATTTAGGAGGGGGCTTCAGCCAGAATATATTTTTTTAAATTTATATAATGATAATTAATTTTGGCGAAAAAGAAAGATACTAACTACCTATATGAAATGGTGTTTAAGTAATTCTTGAAGTCCTATTACGAAAAATAATTTATTATTACGAAAAATAATACTTGTAATATTTTTTTTATAAGACATGGTCATATGGGGAGAGGAATGGGATGAGGAGGCTTCGGTACGAAAACCTCTCCCCGTAGATCCGCAGTTTTGGATCCAGCATTAGATTCAGAATTTTACTGGCGAATAACGCCAAAAGTACACAAATGGTACTTCACTATTTTGTAATGTATACATAAAAGTATATGTACGAATAAATATATATGAGTAGAGAAAAAAACATGTGAATCCGTTTATGTTTTCAATAATGATTATGGTCGAACACCAGTATATTGAAATGGTATATCGTTGATTTATATTTTAAATCTAATTAAATAACAATTTAGATTATTAAATTAAGTTAGTGAATAATTTGATATATTTTCACAAAAATATTCTCTTACAATAAGTGTGACGAATTTTTATCTATTATTGCTATATTAAAAAGCTGGTAACAGGATTTTGGTAAATTTTACAAGGCAAAAATGAGATGTTAATTATATGTAAAAAGTTATAGAGATTTAATTCCTATAATTTTTACTATGTTGTACAATCCGTAGTTATTCATATTTTACAAATCTAAATATCCAAATCTCTTTTTCTTTAGAGGAGCTCATGTTGTTCAAATAAACTAATGGAGTTACGGGGTTTTTATTCCCTACCGTCGATATACTAAATAGTATTTACTAATTATGAAATACTTACGTCAGCAGAAGCAGAAAGCAATGCGGAACTTATCAAGATAAAAGCAAACATTGTGTTTTTTTCAAATATAATCTAAAAAAAAAAAAAATCAAGATTTTACTGAAATAAGACTTAAACTAATACAATTTTTTATAGGATAATGTATAAAGTTTTAAGGTAAAATAACTTTAATAAATTAGCTCATTGGAGTAAATAATTTATATATATATATATATATATATATATATATATATATATATATATATAGAGAGAGAGAGAGAGAGAGAGAGAGAGAGAAAGAGATAGAGAGAGAGATGCACTATAACTAATATTATACATTCTTAAAATATAAAATTCAATTTACCGTCATGCAATGCAGTATCTTTTCTTGAGTACATGTCTTGGAAGCGAATATCATGAATTGGACCAAGCGTCTTTGGAATATTCACTGTAGGATTGTTCTGTTAATGTTAATTGTAGGATTAAGAGGGGACACACTAAATGTTGTTTTGCAAACTGATTCTTTCTAGAGACTGACCTTAGAGGTCTTTTGATAACAGCTTCTTATCAATAAATTCCCTGAAATAGCCAATTAAATGTTATTAGTAGGGATTTAAAAATATGCCCATTATATGAATACGCATACATGATTATGGTGTATGAATGCGAGAATATGTAATTATATAATATTTTCGGAAATAATTTTTAACGGCGAGTTTATACCACATCATTTTACTTTCACTTACCTATGAATATATATATATATATATATATATATATATATATATATATATTATATATATATATATATATATATATATATATATATATATATATATATATATATATATAACTTACGATCGTCTGTACAGAAAAGAATAAAAAAAAAGGAAGAAAGGATGTCAAATAACACACTCGGTTGCTCGGTAAAGACTAACTTTATTCTCTCCGTAATGCTATATATATAGCATTATGGTTTGTTTACACTTTACGATAGGATTAAGTATTATATTGTCTTACATCTAACCATAACTGCCTCCCCCCCCGCCAGTTTATGAACATACCTCATAAACTAATGCAGGGCTACCGACATAATACATAAACAAATCACAACAAAACAAAAAATAATCTCCACTAGAGTTCATACAATAGCAAATAGTAATAAAACAAAATAAAATTAAAACACTGTCATCTTACAACATCCTCGAACAAAACAAAAAGAAAGTGAAACAAAATCAAATAACCTTTTAGCGTCTGTCCCTAGCTTGTAGGAGACAGAAAAGAGGATATACCACATAATTATTTTAGTGACTCCGTCTCTATCGGGAGTTTTAACTGTTCTATGTGAACGGTCCTCCTTTTTCTGGGGTCCTTCAGACTTTGGATTGTGCAAATATTGTGTTCGCGAAGTACAATTACCTTGAATGGTCCTTCGTAGCGTACCAATTCCTTCCCCCTATTGGATCCGACCCTACGATAGACTATCGTCCCTATTTTCAATGTACCCATTCGATCTTTGAGGTTCAAATTAACCTTTTCCACCCTTTTCCGCTTCTCTTTCTCTATTCTCCCTTTCGTTTTCTCCCACACTTTCCTTATTTCCGCTCTGTTACACGTTATCTGTTGAGCGTGGTCCTCGCTCGTGACTGTTTCCTTCCAATCTCGACGCCGTATATTTATCCCGAACAGTAGCTCGACTGGGGAAAACCCTGTAACGGAGTGGATTGAATGGTTGTAGGCCGCTACCGCCCTCTGAATTGCTACGTCCGCTTCTAATCCCTGCTCCCCCTGGTATATACGTAGGTGATCGCTTAGGGTGCTATGCAACCTCTCAATACCTCCCCTGCCCTTTGGATGTCCCGGCGTATTGAAGTGCCAAACTATATCCAAGCGCTTCGCTTCTTCTCGGATGATACTGCTGTCGAACTCCCTGTCTCCGTCGGATGTTATGCGATCTGGCACTCCGTAGAACTGAGCCCACGTTTGGAGAGCTCCCACGACAGCCTCCGACGACCTATCCTGTACCCGATGTACCATCGACATTTTACTAAAGAGGTCTATCATTGTGACCCATTTAAAACCCCTCCATGTGAATGTGTCGATTTGCACATCTTTCAACGGCATATCTCCTGTAGGGGTTTCCTCTTGTAATCCTTGAGGCGGTCGTCTATCATACTTAGTGCGCGCGCAAACCTCGCACATCCCAATGACTTCCGAGATCGTTTTCCGCATGTCATCCCAGAAATATCTCCTGCGCAGTGCCTGGAATGTTTCCTGTACCCCCCGATGATTCGTCTTGCCTTGATGATGTGCCAGTGTTACCTCCTTCTGCTGTTCTCTATCCGTTAATGTTTCGACTAAGTATCTACAGCGAATAAACGACCTGTCCAAGCCCAGTTTTTCTGTTCTCCAGATCTTCTTGATTTTCTCCCAGATTGTCGCATTCCCCGCGTACAGATAGTGAACTTTTCCCGGCTCCGAAGCGTCATGCAAGGCCCTGCAAATCTGTTCTTCCTTCTCCCCTGGTTGGGACCAAATGGTGGTAACCTTCCTCTTCCCATATTTACTAAAATCCATCTTCATAAGCCCCGATGTCCTGGTCTTCCAAATCACCTGTTTACCTTATTGTTTATCTCGTCACACTCCTCCATGTCTGTGGACCTCTCGTCTACTGAGCTTTCTTCTCCTCTTGATTCCCCTGTTCCCGCGTTCGTGGGTTCCCCTTCGCCTTCCGGTGTCCACGCTCTCAGAAACTGCCGTACGTCCCGCGATGACTCTCCTTCTTCCTCCTCGATGGCATTTATCATTATTGCTCTGGACAGCCAGTCTGCTACCACATTCTTCTTGCCTGGCTTATACCTGACTTCCATATTATATTGGCTTAAGAACTGCTTCCATCGAGTGACTTTCGCCGATGATTCCTTCAGGCTGCCTACCCATTGCAATGGTTTGTGGTCGGTATGCACCTTAAACTTCCGGCCAAAAATATACGGTCTAAAATGCCCGACCGCCCATACTATGCCCAGGAGTTCTCTTTCCAGAGCGCTATACCTCGTTTCCGCTTCCGTGAGTCGCCGACTTGCATACGCTACCGGCTGTTCTGCGTCAGTTCCTTCCTGCGCAAGTACTGCCCCTAACGCATACTCACTTGCATCAGTGGTGATAATAAACACCTTGTTAAAATCGGGAAACGCAAGTACCGGCTTTTCCTGTAACCTCGCCATGCACTTCCTCACGTTGTTTTCTATTGCCGGTGTTATTACGATCTGCCGGCCTTTCTTTAGAAGATTATTGAGAGGTGCTAAATATTCCGCCATTTCCGGAACAAACCGACGATAATAGTTCAACGTTCCCGAATAATCTCCGGATCCCCTTGACATCTCTGGGCATCGCCATGTTTTGTATCGCCTCTACCTTCTGCTTATCAGGCTTGATCCCTTCTCTCGAAATCGAGTGTCCCAAAAAATTGATCTCATCCTGCCCCAGGATCGACTTTTCAGCAGACAATTTCAATCCCAACTGCTTCACTCTGTCGAATACGAGGCGCAAATGACCAATATGTTCCGTTTCATCTTTACTGAAGACCAGGAGATCATCCATATATACCTGGCAGAATGCTTCATCCAGTCCCCTCAAAAATTCGTCCATAAATCTCTGGAAGGTTATAGGAGCCTTCTTCAACCCGAACGGCATGCGAGTAAACTCATAATGCCCCATTTCAAATGAAAAAGCTGTCTTATGTTGGTCCCTGGGGTGCATACGTATCTGATGATAACCTGCCTTTAGATCGAGAGTGCTGAAGATGGTGGCTCCGCTCAGTCTGTCAATGATGTCCTCAAATCGTGGGAGCGGGTATTTCTCATCCATGGTATTGTCGTTGAGCTTTCTGAAGTCTACCACTACCCTATACTTCTCCTCCCCTGTCGTGGTCTTCTTCTTCACTGCCCATAGAAGACTATTGTACGGTGATGTGCTATCCACGATTATGCCTTGTTTTTTCAAGCTCTCTATCTCTTCCTTGATGTGTCGCCGTAGCGCTTGTGGATAACGTCGTTCCTTAACGTATGTCACTTTTTCCTGTTTTAAAGGAATTTCATGGACCGTCTTCCCTGTTGCAGTCAACACTTCCCCGTCTTTAAAAAAAATATCCGCGTACTCCATCTTTATCCTCTGTACCCAATGTTCCGCTTGTTCTATTGCCCCGACATTCCCTGTCCCGTCCACCCTCAATCGCTTACACCGATACTTCTTCCCTCCCATTCGAACAACTCAACCCGTACTCCTGTAATCTATCCTCGGCCTTACCTTACTTAATAAGTCACAACCTATTATGCCTCCGTACTCTCTCGGCATGTACTCCACCACGTGAACCCTCAATTTCCCGATTCCGGCCACCCATCGGTCCAGATCTAATTCTACCTCCCCCTCGACTCTAAAAGGACCACCCAAAGTAATCAACTTTTTTATTTCTGGTATCCTCTCTCCTTTACACAATTCCTCCAGCATCTTTTTACATAATATTGTACTAGAGCTCCCCGTATCTACCAAACACTTCCCCCTCCCCACAACACTTATAATTGGCAAACCCACGCACTCACCTCCAATATTATTTACTACCGCGTGGTTGCCGCTCCACTGCTCCTCTCCTCATTCATCCGTTCTTCCTCTCTTTCCTGCAACTGCCCCTCTCACTCCGCTCCTTCTACTGATGCTGCCTCCTCGAGCTCCTCTTACCACCGTTCCCTCCTCTTCGGTTCCGGATGCTCCTGATGACTCGTCTGACTCTGATGTCGATCCTCTCTTCTACCACAATCTTTGTGCGTTCACCTCCATTGGCTCATCTCGTCCCGTGTCTCCCCGTCTACTCATACATGGACATTGTCTGGCGATGTGCCCTTCGTTTCCGCATTCGAAACATCGAGTTCGCGGACAATTCGCTACGAGGTGACCTATCTTTCCGCACCCGTGGCGTCTCCTGTCATCCTTTGTCCATTTCCTTCTCTCTCTGACTGGTCTTTTCTCTCTCACCGCCGTCCTCTCCCTCATGCCAAATTCTCCTCTTTTTCTCCACCCCTCCGTTCTCCCTTTGACCCTTCCAGTTTCTGGTCTCCTGTACACCACTCGATTCCACCCATTCTCATTCTCCTCGTAACCCCGAGCTGCTTCTTCATCCCGGGCGCTTGCGTCGATCATATCCTGCGCACATTCAACGAAACTCTTCTCCCTGGGTAACCCATCCTTTTTACCTGTATCTCGGGCCAGCTGCACTTTAAGTATTGTCGACAGGAACGCCATCCTGGCTCCTGTTTCGGCCGCACCTGCTACTTCTCTCGTCTTCTCGGTTACACTGTTGAACCGTGCCAACAAATTCGCTGCGTATTGTCCATTCGTCTGGTGAGGCTGTTTCCTTTCCCGAAACATCTGCAGGATGTCTTCCTCAGGAGCCCATCGACCTCCTCCGAATGCCTTCTTCAGCCTATCCTTCACCGTGTTCCATGGGGTGTCCTCATCTGCCTGGATCATGTTC